GCTGCGGCGGCTGTATCCAAGGCCATCTCAATCTGTGATAACACCATGCCGGGTTGGGGTAGGGGTAGCACCTGGAGCCACGTGAACAAAGTATAGGGTAGAGAGGGGACCAGGGCATGGCAGTAGCTATAGCTGCAGCAGTAGCAGTAGCTATAGCCCTCCCGCCCCCTCCCCCACCGGGGCACTTTCCCCGCCCCACGCATCCACGACCTACCTCTCTCCCCGATACCCCTTGGTCTCCATTCCCGCTCCTCATCCCCCTTCCCCCCCCCCTTCACCTCCTGCAGCCTCCTAGCCACCTCCTCTGCCTCCGCCGCCTCCACCTCCTCCCGGCTTGCCCCCGACCGTTCCATCTTGGCCACGAGGGGGGAGGAGGCGGCTACCGTGTGCTAAAACCCGCACGCAGTACGAGCAAAAGAAAGGTGGGGAGGGCGTGAGGGGGGTTGTTAAGGGGATGCGGATCGCGGTGACGGCTGCAATGAACTTTCATTACAGGACAGGTTGGTCGCAATTTGGGATGGTACATTAATCCCATTTTGCAGATCTTAGGCACACTACTGCTGGCATAGCTCAGTTGGATAGAGCACCCGTTTAGTAAGCGGGAGGTCTCCAGTTTGAATCTGGATGTCAGCATGTATACTTTTGCCTTTTCACAGTGGTGTCCTGGGTTAAAGTTGACCCGCCCGTACCCGCCCGTACCATCACACATCATGTACACCTGTTTCAAACGTTTACCCCCCTCATGCTAGGAACCAACCCTTCATCTCCCTCATCTCTCACCGCACAACTACTTTTTAACCCTCCCTCTTCCCCCAAGAACCAAAGCGGATTGAACTAAACTTAGAACCAAATAATTTTCGCACGGTCAAGGAACGCCAGAGCCTCGGCGTTACCCGCCAGGCTTCATGCCACCCCACCTGCATCATGTCTTCCCGTAGCAGGGAGCATGCAAAGCCGATGTTGATGGCCGTCTCCATCTTGTCGCCCGTCAACACCCAAATACGAATTCCCGCCATAGCCAGCTGCTTAATGCACTGCGGTACCCCCTCCTGGAGCTTGTCCTCGATTGCCGTACAACCCAGCAATCGCAGATTCCGCTCGATCTTCTCGCTGACCTCCGCCACCTTCTCATCGCGGTCCACCAACGATGTCTTGGCCGCCAGATATTCCGGCAACCACACGTTGCCGTACCACTCGCGGTCGACTTCAGCGTACGACAGGCACAGCGTACGGAGGCCAGCGGCCCCGAACTCCTCCATGTGGCGACCGGTGGACTCCTTCATGGCTTCGTTGGGACCGTACTTGGGGTCCAGGCGCTCATAGATGACCGTGTCAGCGCCCTGCAGAGCGGGGTGTAGGTAGGAGTAGGTGTAGGGGTGGGGGAGATGTAGAGGTGGGCGGGGGTGTAGGGGTGTAGGGGTGTAGGGGAGGGGCCCTGACATGAGGAGGGGTGAGAGAAAAGAGACGTCCTCAAACCCGTCCGTACATCATTTCCCCTCCTCCCCTCCCCCCGGGAAACAGGCCCATGCACCACTCCGCCCCGCCTACCCCCTCCTTGACCCGCGGGGCCCCTCCATCCACACAACACATACGCCTGTGCACATACATACATACATACACAGCATACACACACGCTTCACCTTGGTAAACACGAGTATCGTGTTCCTCGTCTTGTCACGTATCACCACACTCATCCGCTTCCGAGTGGATGTGAACTCCAACACGTTCAGCACCTCGTACTCCACATCTCGTTCTTGGCCGCCGTACCGACCCCGCTCCCGTACAAATACACTGGATTGTGTACGGCGAAGGAAAAAGAACCCAAACGCCTTGGCGGCCACCACCAGCGCGGCTTCGTCCGGTGATTCGGCCTGAGGGGGGGTGGAGGGGGGTGAGGGGGTGGGGAGGACGAGGAGAAGTGCCCCCCGGGGTTGAGGAGTGAGGAAAGGAAGAGCCCCGGTAGTGGGGGTTGGTGGGGCAGAAGACAAGGAAGACGAACCACAAACGGGTGAAGCTGATGCCACGGATGGACTGGTGGGGTGACGGGGGAGCCTACCTCGTATTTGATGGTGCGGGGGTCCGGCTGCCCCTCCGAAACCACCGTGTGGCAAACCGCCAGCAGGCGGAAGAACATTTCTACGCTGTCAGCGTCGGGTCCACGAGTCCAGGCATCTCCCATCAGGCGCTCGTCGTAAAAGTTGAAGTAACGCTCGCGGTACTGGGCGGCCCGTGGGTCACTGCGCTCCTCGGGAACGGTGCCCTGCCTACGAGGGGGTAAGGGGAGGGGGGAAAGGGGGGAGGGGGGAAAAGGGGGGAGGGGGGAAAAGGGGGGAGGGGGGAAAAGGGGGGAGGGGGGAAAAGGGGGGAGGGGGAAAAGGGGGGAGGGGTAAGGGGGGGTAAGGGCGTGTGGAGGATGTGGTGGTGGTGGGACGGGTTACAAAATCCGCCGGTGAGTAAACCCCCAACCCTTTCCCACGTACCCTTTCCTCCCCCCCCACCCACCCACATACACACAACTAACCCATCTCAACAACCTCAATCCATCCCATCCAACCACGCCAACCGATTCCGCCGTACCGCGCCAAGTTGGTTCTCTCAATCTCCGTAACGCCCACGCCGTACGCCACACCCGCTATGGAGCATTTGAAGAACTCCATGACGTTGCGTGTGAGTGTACCCGTCTTGTCCGTCATCACCGCCGCCACCTGCCCCAGCTCCTCGTTGAGGTTGGAGGTGCGGGCGGTGGCGGGGGTGTCGCTCTCCGAGTGGTACATGTCTCTATCACAGGACATGAGCACACCTGCCTGGAACACCTTGACCATTTCAATGGAGACGTAGAGGGAGATGGGGACCAAATAGCCTTTGGGGGTGGGGTGGGGTGGGGTCGGATGAGGTGGGGTGGGGTGTTGTCTTTCGTTTTGTGGGGGGCTTGTGAAGTGGGATGGGTGAGGGTGGGTGGGGTGGGGGTGTGGGTGGGTGAGGTGGGTGGGGGTGTGGGTGGGTGAGGTGGGTGAGGTGGGTGGGGGTGGGGGTGGGTGGGTGGGGGAGATTTTGCGCGGCCTAGCAAGGTAAACGCGCGTGGCGTCGAGTGACTAGGTGGGTTGGCGAATCTATCATTTAGAATTTAGGAGAATCTATTAATCCTTTATCAAAAAAGAACAATTTGCTCTAATTGGCATTTTTGTAAGTCTCTCCCACAACCCCCCACACCACCCTTTCCCTGGCGTCAGTCACGTCTAGCAGGCCTGTACTGCACTTATGAAAATACAATGAGCTCCATGTTCTTTGTCAGATACGTATGTTTGTACACGTTCGTACAGTTTGTACACACTCGTACACTCACTGTACAGCAGCAGCGCCACGAAGAAGTTCACGGCGCCGGTTCGTGCGGTTCGGTCCGGGTCGTCTGCGGCAGTGGTGGCCTCCGGCAGCATGTACCAGTGCCGCCGCAGGTGGGTGCTGGTCCAACGGGCGTGGAATACGGCAGATGTAAGGCACCAACCGAATAGCAGTACGAACACTACCACAATGACGCGGTCCACGGAGCACTCCAAGGAAGATCTTTTCGAGGGGGGTTCAGTGGAGTTCATAAATATCTTCGTGTCGTGGCCTGACGGGGAGGGGGACGGGGACGGGAAAATCGAACTCGGGAACTTGAGCACAAGGGAAGATGATCGAAAACCCTAAACCATTCTACAAATTATTTGAAAAACTCCTTATTTATTTAAAGACCTCTTCTTTAAAACATCTTTCTGCGGCATGAAAGGGATAATCGTATATGAGGAGGTTTTTTTTGTGGTTTCGGATTTCGCGGGACATGGGCTCGCGGTGGACGGCGCGCGGACGGGGACACAAGGAAGGTGGCAGATAGAGGTCTGGGGGACCTAGGGAGGGGCACCACCACACGGGGCCGCCTCCGCCTCCTGCTCCTCGTCATCACCTCGTCATCACCGCTTTCGTTTCGAGCATCCAGGACATTTCAGCCTTCAAGCCACTACTTCCGTACAACTTAAAACCCGCAGCGCATGCAGGGACGAGCACCCGTACGTACGGCGACGCGGGCGAGGATGACACACCAACCGCGACTACTAGCCCGTGTACGGACAGGGCCGATCAAGGCCTTAGGGACACGGCACGAAAAATACGGCAAACTAACTCAGTGCATGGGTGCAAAGAGCAAGAGGGAGAGGGGCAGGGGAGGGGCAAAACCCGGGAGGGCAAGAGGGGGGAGTAAAGAGAGGAGTGGGGCCGGACGTACATACCTGCATACACCACAACGCCGTACACACAGTCCGTATTACGGATGCTACAGCCACGCAGCAACAGCGCCGACGCCGAAAGCGGAATCACCATCTCCCTGCTGCTGCCGCCACCGTCGCTGCTACAGCGGGTGCTTCCAGCACACGCCGCAGACGCGGAGATGAACGTGCTCCCCTCCGCCTGAAGATCAGCCGCCATATCCTCCGTACTGCCATTCTTCGCGTCAACGCTGCCGCCAACGCCGCCGCCGCCGCCACCCTTCAGCACCCCGCCCAGCTGTTCCGCCGCCGCCAGCTCCAGCGAGTTTGGGGGAGCGCCAGGACCTAGCAGCGGCGGCAGCGGCGGCGGCGCCGCCGGCAACGTGTACGGCAACGGTTGCGGACTCGCGGGTGCTGTTCGAGGGCTCCGTCGGGACGATGTCCTCGAGGGCGGTGCGAGTACGGGGCGGCGGTACGGAAAGGACGACGACGCGGGCAGGGTGGCGGCGCCGTCAGACGCCCCCACCGCCGGCAGCGGCAGCGGCATGTGCAGATTCCCTGTAAAGGCATACAGCCGTGAATTTGGCGGCTCGCACTCCAACACGGTCGCCAGAAGAGCCCGCAGCTCCCCAGCCGCCGCCAGGCCTCTGGTGGGTTCCGGAGCCGCCTTGATCTTGAGGTTTGTCTCCCCGTCCAGGTTCACAGTCTCCACGTGGCAGCAGCCCTCGGGGTTGGAGCTGTCCAGCAGCACCATGTCCGCCGGCAGGGGCTCGTCGCGAGCCACCCGCAGCAGGTCGCCCACACGGACATCCCGCCAAGGCACCGTAACAAAGTCACCTACAACATGAGGTGGGCGTGCGTACGGGAAGGAGGGAAAGGAGGGGTGCCTGCCGGCCTGAGTGAAGCATTAGGACCCTTACATATCTCTGTCGTGACCCGGTGAAGGCAGCTCCTCAGCTCCTCTGGACAGACCTCCCTCTCGTCCGCCACCCACCCACCCACCTCCTGCTCACCCCGGGACCCCCCCCCGGATGATGTCGCCCCCGCCCCCCTCCGCCCCCCTCCCCATGCCCCTCCGCCCTCCTTTCTTGGCCGCCTCCCCCCACCTTACCCGTGTCCCTGCTCATGATTGAGGCCGGTCGGCTGTTCACCGCCTGGTCCTGCTGGTACCTCTTGAAGTCCTCCCTCGCCTCCTTCGCCAGTGACACCCCCACCACCAGCACCAGCGGGGTCCAGGTGGTCCAGGGGCTAGGGGGAGGGACAGGGGGAGGGGGGTGTTGATGCGAAGGGTTGCCGTGTCACCCTGTGGCCTGTTTGGGTAACTTGTCAGACTATCGTGAGTAACAGCTGAGGCCGGTCCGAGGTCGCATGTTAGCCTGAGTAACAGCTTTGGACCTGACTCGGGAGGCCCGTCAAAACGGCTATTAGGTTCTAGCGTACTGATAGCTCTCGTCCTTTGGGATAGGCTTTCCAAGCCTTTATAAGTCTCTGTTGTTTATCGGTAACAGTACCTCAGATTCACACGTTTACGCCTAGGCAAAGGGGCTTTCGGTGGTAGGTCGCGGATCTCCCGAATACGTGTAACGGCTAATGTCTCCTTAGTCGTGTCTGCTAGGTCCCTGTGAGATAGCGTCTCACCAACAGGTTATGAGCCCCGGGTAACGGTTCCCGGCGGTTAATATCTGTAGTTGCTTTTAGCTTGAGCAGGGAGGCTCGCTAGGCAACCGACATGGGAAAAGGGTGTAAGACCGTCCTCTTAGCGGACGGGTCTAACTACTCACAGTGGCTAGGAGACTTCAGTGATTTCCTTGCTACATCCAAGCTGCGGATCTATATTACCAACCCGTCGCCACCGGGACGCAATGCGCAAGACGCTCTGGAGGAAGATGCCCAGGCGCTTGGCTACCTGCGTCTATCCTGCGAACTGCCAGTCAAGCAGTTGCTCAGGAACTGTCAGACGACCCTCGCCGCCATGCAGCTCTTACAGCTGCAGTTCCGTTCTGCCTCTCAGGCCCGGCTAAGCCTGCTGGAGCCGCAGAAGCAACTGCGCATGGGCGACGACGAGACGACCGCTGACTTCATTCAGCGGGCGGAGCAGCTCCGCAGCGACATTATCTCGGCGGGCGGCCAGTGGGACGAGGCTGCTATGCGTCATGCAATTCTCCACGGTCTGCCTCCACAGTACGCTATTACAGTCGAGTTCGCGATGTATTTGCCCAACTTGACTACCCCGCAGCTCGTGTTCATGCTGCGGGAGAAGGAGAACAACCTGAAGGCTCAAGCAGTCAAGTCCGGCCTGGTTGGAGCTGTTGGCCCTGGTCGCACCGCCCGTGGAGTCCGCGGTACTGCCGGCGCCTCGGGCGCCGCGGGGGCCAACGACACCTGCCGCTACTGTGGACAGCCTGGGCACTATGTCCGTGAGTGTCCCGTTAAGCTGGCGGACGTGTCCGTAGGCCTCTACCGCAGCAATGCGTTTGAGCAGCCACGCAGTACTGGCGCCGGCAGCAGTGGCAGCGGCAACCGCCATCGTGATGGCGGCGGCGGAGGCACCAGCGGCGGCAATAACAGCGGGGGCGACAGGACGCGAGAACGCGGCCGTTTTAGACGCGGCAACGGCCGCCGCAGCGGCAGCGACACTGCTGGCGGAAGCAGTGGCGGCGGCGGCGGCGGTGTAAGCTCACGCCAGAACCGTGCCACGGTGCTGGTCGTCGGTGACAGTGGCAACAGTTCAGCAGTAGTCCTAGACTCTGGTTCACCTTACCACCTTACAGGTGACCGCTCACTGTTGCACAGTTACGTTCCTGCCGGCTCGCCCAAGCAAATTAAGTGGGGGAACAACCAGCTAGCCGACGTCATGGGAACAGGGCAGCTACTCCTACGGACACGCGATGGAGAAACCGTCTTGCTACGCAACGTGCTCCATGTCCCCAGCTCGGGACTAACGCTCATGTCTGTCGACCTTCTCGTGACACGCGGCTGCTCAGTCACGTTCGGCACGGACAAGGCGGGCCGCCGGTTCTCGCGAGTAGGTCTGCCGCACGGCGGTTCGTCTATCACCGCGTGGAGTGAGCGTGGGCATTACGTCATGGACGTGGACCTGCTGGCGCCGACCAAACGCGCCGTCAGTGCGCTCGGCGCTGCGGAAGACAGAGCCGGCGGAGGTACCAGCGCTAGCAGATTTGCCGCCGGCGCCAGCAGCAGGGACGCCGGCGGGGACCAGCCGAACGGCGCCGACAGCAGTGACACCGGCGGAGACCAGTCGAACGGCGCCAGCAACGGCCAAGGGCAGCTGGGCGCCCTTGAGTGCTCAGCCGCCGAACTCGCAGCAGCGCAGCGCCTGCACCGCCAGTTCGGCCACCTTGGTTACCGGGCGTTGGAGCAGCTTATCACCAAGCAGCTGGTACATGGACCACGGGTCACTCCCGCGGCGCTGCATCAGGCGGCAGAGGGTGTCTGCGAAGCCTGTGTCACAGCGAAGACTACAGCTACAGCTCACGTCAGCCGCGGTAACCGGCCTCAGCATGTCCTGGAGGTCGTACACTCTGACCTGTGCGGGCCCATGCCGACCACGGGCCGAGGAGGGGCTCGCTACTTGCTAACGCTGCTAGACGGTGCCTCCGGTCTGTCTGCCGTTCGCACACTGGTTAGCAAGAACCAAGTGGGCGAAGCGCTGCAGGACATGGTGACGCAGCTGGAGGCTCGCAACCCGAACGGTGCACGGGTCCGCACCCTTCATAGTGATAACGGTGGCGAGTTTGTCGCCGAGCAGCTGGCACAGTGGCTACGCCAACGCGGCACTGCGCATACCCACTCGGCGCCGTACACTCCGGAGCAGAACGGCGCAGCGGAGCGGCTCAATCGCACGCTCCTCGACCGGGTGCGGGCTATGCTGTACGATGCCGCGCTCCCGGACAGCTTTTGGTCGGAAGCTGTGCTATACGCCAACCTCCTGCGCAATGTTTCCCCCTCTCAGGGCCGGGAGGCCACGCCGTGGGCAACTTATCATGGCGTCACCCCCGACGTCAGTCACCTGCACACCTTCGGCTGCCTGGCATACGTCCGCGCCCCAACCAGCCAGCAGGTTAAGCTCGGTCCCCGCGCAGAGGCGGGAACCTACCTTGGACCGGAGCGCGGCACGGCCGCCCACCGCGTCCTCGTTGACGGTAAGGTGACTGTTAGCAGCGACGTCACCTTCGACGACGACCTCCGCGGCCTGGCGTCTCAACGGGCGGGCACCTCCTTCGGCGCTGGCCCCGCCCGTCCTGGCAGCGGCGACCCCGTCGGCGGCTCTACACAGCCCGCCACACCGCCGCCTCCAGTGGTTGCATCGCCCCCAGTGAACCCAGCACCCCCCCCCGCCCCAACACACGCAGCCAACGGCAACCTCTTCACCCGCCGCTGGCCCCGGTCTGCCCAGCCAACAACAGCAGCGGCGGCGGCGGAGATTTGGGTAGTCCACCGCTGCTTAATAAAGCGTCGGGTAGCAGCGATCACGCTGAGTTTAACGTACCTGACAGCAGTACTAACGGTGGAGGCAACAGCGCAACCTCCCTGCGGGCACTTCTGGCTGTGGCAGCGGCCAGGGGTATGACGGTCCATCAGATGGACGTCAAAAGGTGGCGGATGTCAAAGTCCGTCTACGACATCAAGCAAGCCCCACGCTGCTGGTACGAGAAACTGGCGGCGGTGTTGGGCAAGCTGGGCTATGGACCGTCTATGTCCGACCCCGCGCTATTCGTCAAGTGCGGGTCCGACGGTTCAATTTATGTGCTTGTGCACGTTGACGACATGCTGGTGGCGGCGGACAACTTGCAATTGGTCACGGCCGCCAAAGCAGCCATCACCGGTTGCTTCACAGTGTGTGATTTTGGATAAACACGCTCAGCCTCGGCAACAACCCCATCACGTCGGTGCGCTCCAAGCACATCGACGTGCACCATCACATCGTGCGCGAGAGGGTCGCGCGTGGTGAGGTGAAGCTCAGCTATTGCACCACCGACGACATGGTGGCTGACATCCTAACCAAGGCACTGGGCGAGGTCAAGTTCGTGCGCTGCCGCACAGCGCTGGGCGTCACTTAGATCGCCAGAGGAGGAGTGCTGAGGGCTTTGAGGAATTGTCTTGAGCTAGGCTTTAAGGGGGTGCTGAGGGGGCGTGAGCAGGCGCCCGAATGGGCAGGTCAATGCCCGAAGGGGCGCCGTAGGCAGTGCGTATGGTGCTGTACGGCACTGTTTTCCCCGTGTGTGTTTGTGCAGCAGCGCCAGACCGCATAGCCATCAGGCTGAAGGCTGGCAAGCTGCGTTTGTATCTGCTGAGTGTTGAGCAGTCGGCCTGGACCGTGGACTTGCCGGCCGATCTAGCTAGTCAGTACTAGCAGTTTGTAGTAAGGCCCCTAGTGCGACACGAGGGGGCGTGTTGATGCGAAGGGTTGCCGTGTCACCCTGTGGCCTGTTTGGGTAACTTGTCAGACTATCGTGAGTAACAGCTGAGGCCGGTCCGAGGTCGCATGTTAGCCTGAGTAACAGCTTTGGACCTGACTCGGGAGGCCCGTCAAAACGGCTATTAGGTTCTAGCGTACTGATAGCTCTCGTCCTTTGGGATAGGCTTTCCAAGCCTTTATAAGTCTCTGTTGTTTATCGGTAACAGTACCTCAGATTCACACGTTTACGCCTAGGCAAAGGGGCTTTCGGTGGTAGGTCGCGGATCTCCCGAATACGTGTAACGGCTAATGTCTCCTTAGTCGTGTCTGCTAGGTCCCTGTGAGATAGCGTCTCACCAACAGGGGGGACAGGGGGATAAGGGGGGGGGGAGGGGACGGGGGAGATCATGTGCGCGAAAGTGGGCATTGAACTGCCGATGGGGAATCGGGGGAGGAGGGTGGGGACGTGGGAGATAGGACGAACCACAAGCGAGTGAAGCAGGGGCCAGGGGGAAGGGACTCCGCTTCAGGGACAGGAAATGCGCAGGGGGCTACAAATGTTGCTGCTGTGGACAATGGTTTCGGAGCCCCTTCCTCATTGCCGTACTGTCTGAAATGGGTCACTGGGCTCGAATTGGATTTTGCTGGGATTGGCATCGCCAGATATACATACATTCATACATAATACGAATATGAAAAATGATAAATAGATCTTTTGGCTACTAGTTGCAACTTACTAAAGCCCTCTCCCTCTCCGTCTCCCGCGCGCACATTCGCCGCCACATTCGGTTCGGCGTCTCAAAAGGCGTTTCGAAGGGGCCCCTCCTGGAGCACGATGGCGGCCCCAGCTGCACAGCGACCCAGATCACATCTAAACGAGATTCCAGACCTACCCAAAACCAGACCGGGTCATTTAGATCCCACGTGTAATCCCAACGCCCCTCCCGCCCCCCAGCCCCCCCCCCCTCTCTCCCCAGCCCCCGGAAGGCCCCATCCCAACCGCCCAGATCCTCCCCCCCCCACACACCCTCACCGCACAGGGCTCCAGGGGGTGAGGGACAGCGCCGCCATCAGAGTGAAGAAAATGTTGGCCACTCGCCTGTGGTCACGAGTTGGGTGGGTTCGGATTTAATCCAGGGTTTTGGGATTCGGTCTTTGGTTCCACGTCGGGCGCAATGACTATCCTGGATCGTGCGTTGTGGCTAGTGAAGCACGGAATCGAGGTTTTGGATTTGGGACTGTGGAATATTGAGTTTGGATTCGTGGATTCGGATTTGGATTGGATTTGAATTGGGGGAAGTTTTCAGGAGAGTCCGACAGCCGCCAGGCGGTTATGTACGGCAATCCGTTGTGAGGGCCGGCCGGCATGCAGGAAAGTCAGGCAGTCAAATGGGTCCCCCAGATAAATGCGGGGTGGCATGCGACTCTGATGGTTGTGAGCTGGGCCCCCCGCCGGCAATGCCGTAACCCACTCCCATCGTAACCCACAGCCCCCCCGGCAACAACTCCCGTGAGGATTGCCGCATGCGGGCATTTTTAGTTTCGCGGCTCAGTCTAAGACACCTGGCGTCCCCGGGGCCCAATCCCCAGGGGGGACCGCGCACCTGTACTGCTCGAATAGCGCCTTAGGTAGGTAGGAGAGGAGGGTGTACTTTGTGGTTGACGCATAGTTGCCCTGATAGGGTAGCTTGGCGCTTCCGCAGACGGGCACAACCCGCGTCTCCTGGGCGACGGAACCGCGCCTTCTTCCGGCCAGGAAATTCCGCCATTGTTCAAACATAACACTGTCTGAGCTTGGACCGGTTCATGATATTAAGGTCTCCAATCACGCTGCATCTTGGCGCGAGGCTGAGCCAAGACTGTGGCCGCCTGATTTCTGCTCCAGTAGCTCTATGCCGGCTCCATAGTTGGAATTGCTATTACGAAAGCAAAATTGATTCTGTCCGGTAAATGAAGAGGGGCTGCAGCGTAAAAAGCACTCGAACGCTTCTCAGTGAAAACAATAAATGGATTGATTCAAGCATGCGCAGAGTTTAATGATGAGTGTGTAAATTGACGCTAAACCCTATGCTACAGAAACCCTAGCGTGAACGAAACCGGATAGAAGACCGTCCTCTTGGGTCACACGGGGAAGACGAGCGGATATTGCCAAATATATAGCGATCTTATGAATTTCTAACATCCATGAGATCATCCTAACGTTCATACTAAAGTATAACGGCTTTCGTAGCCAGGGGGGCTTTCCTTTGGCATCGGAAGTCTTACAGTCGTTTACTGAAAGCTTTCCGCATGGGACTCAGTAAGCATCCGTATTTGCGCTGCAATATAGATTTGGTTTAAAATCGTTTTGTTGCTTGGCTTCCCGGCCTTTAACGCTTACCGCTGCACCAAATGTCGGTTAACTTGGTTAAAAGGCAGCGCCTCAAGTTCTTCACGACACAGCGGGGCGCTCATCAAGCCAGCTTATGTTTTTCAATTTCTAATATATTTGTATTCAGCACTTTGTTATGGAAGCGCCTTCACTAAGGGTGGTTTTAGGGAAGTTGCGAACCCGGTTTTGGGTGATTTCCAGGCCATGAAGTACTCAATTAGCCGCGTGATTGAACCTTCAAATTGATATAAAATTTTGGTTAAGAGAATACTTGCGCTGCTCGTCTTGCTCTTGCAAGCTATAACCATCCTTCCCGACAACGGCCAACCGATGGCTATTTGATGTATAGAGAGAGCAGCAGCGTGCCGTTGACATCGGCGCGCCAAGCACGGGCATAACTCTTAATACTTTGTTACCCGCATTGACAAATGTCATCAGAGCATCCATCGGACTACCTCGCCGCTAGGGCGGATCGCGCAGCTTCTCGCTGCCTAGGCTGGTCATACCAGTGCCACCAAGGGGCGTCACATTCGCTGTTATGTACTGCATGTATAAGGATGCCCGTAGGCTGACTTGCACGCTCCGCATCGCCAACTACCTGCCATGTTTCCAATCTTACCGTACAGCTCTACATGGGGGTGTCTTTTTCCACTCCGCCGTACATGCAAGCTTCCATTTCTCTCTTTCCATACCGCACGAATCGATCATATAAAATGGATACTAAGTAAACTGGGTTACAGGGATGTTCAGAATGCTTCCCTGTTGTGTAAATAACTTTAACTTTCTAAAGGGAAGACGCCTAAGAGATGGCGCAACGACGGCACAGAGATGTATAACTTTGTCAAAAGCGCTTCCAGTGCGTGCACTGTGATGCCTTAATGCGATGCATCCGTACAACATGGTGCGCACTCTGTGTGTGCAGGAGTGGGTGAAGTAAGTAGAGAAACACGGCACTCTCTGTCGAAGGCACACCGGGCTGCCGCTCCCGCCGACGTGTGGCTGGAAATCCTGTGTGGCTGGAAATCCTGTGTGGCTGGAAATCCTGTGTGGCTGGAAATCCTGTGTGGCTGGAAATCCTGTGTGGCTGGAAATCCTCTGCATGAAAGGGGATGCATGTAAGGACACACGGTCTTTCAAATCACCATTCACAATGTTTCTGACTGTTTTTGGCACGGCGCAGGGACATTGCCACCCCGCGTGTTTGGCACAGACTCACGCTTTTCCCCTGGTCTCTGCAACTAGTAGTATCTCTCACCTTGGAACAAGTCCTATGCTGCAACAATTGAGTGCACGCCGAAAACTTCTTCAAACTGGCGGCGCACAGCATCCACCCGTCGTCATCGTCCCCTCCCAGTGCCTCTTGGAGGCACCTCGCGAGAGCCGCCACATCAGGCTGTAGACACAATAGAGAAGTACAAGAAGTACATGAATCCCAAGTGAAGGTGAATGGTTGCAAGTGCACCATGGTGCATTTGCACGGTGGGAACACGTCAAGCAAGAAATAACACACCGCATTGTTGGGACTGTGTGTCCACTGGTCCCGGACGTTTTCATCGTCCACATCCCATGTCCACAATCTCCTCCAGTATGACACCTATCGCGGCCATTTGTTCACAGCTTCTACATGAAAGTAACCTAACTTCTAGATAAACATCGCTGTACACTGAAGTTGGGCAGTTATGTAATACTATTGTAAGGTTAGCGACTGTGACATGCTTGCCACCCAAGCCTACATGCTTACCCAACTCTTGTTGTATGGAAGCGTGATGCATCGCGTTAAAGCATGACTAAAGGGGGTGTTAAACTGTGAGCGGCTCGCCATGCACCCACGACTCTGGTTCGGGTCGGTTCGGGTGGTGGTATCTTTTAGTTACACACACACACACACACACACACACACACACACACACACACACACACACACACACACACACACACACACACACACACACACACACACACACACACACACACACAGACACACACACACAATGAATGAATGAGTACGGAGTACGGTAACCAGGCATGTAGGGTTCCTGCCCCACATACCGGAATCGAAACCAACACAGTACGCACGAGAGACACTTGTAAGTGCTCCCCTTACAGAGCTTTCATTAAATTCCTTTAACTCGCGCGATTCCGGATGCCTGCCTGAGAGTTTCCGGGCCGACCCCGCAATTGGTCGAAATTGCTCGGTAGAAGGGTTTAAATTGGCACGGGGACTACACCTGGGACAAGTTAAATTGCTGGGACAGGCCCTTGAATTGGCATCAGATGGACCGAATTGTTGGCCTGGCAGGGACATTCCGACAGTCAGAACTGGCCTGTTCCGGGTCTCAAATCGGGGAAGGAAAATAATTGTGCGACCTGGATAGCCCGAAGAATTGCTCTCCACGACCTAGTGTCCTACCCTCCCTCAAGTTTTCCTGCCCCACGTCCTGGGATCGAAACCAACACACACACATGAGGCACTTGTAAGCGGTCCTCTTGCAAAGTTTTTTTTTGGTAAATTTCATAAAGTCATGCGCTTCCGGGTTCCCAATCCCATCCTTGGCCAAGGTTTCAATCCCCATCCCACCGACAGGGTTCCCATCCCCATCCTCACCCCGACAGCAATCCCCATCCTAAGAGTAGTGTAGCAAAATCCTAATCCTTGCCGTGGCCCCAAAACCCAATCCTGACGTCGTCGCCCTATTCCCCATCCCGCCTGACCAGTACCTGCCCCCAATCCCCAATCTTTGCAACCCTCTGTTCCGGATGACGGCCTGAGCCAATCCTGCCAATTCGACAGCCAATTTGACACCGAACAGGCCAATTCGATACCCTGCCAGCCTAATTCGACACCCGGACAGGCCAATTTGACACCCTGCCAGCCTAATTCGACACCCGGACAGGCCAATTTGACACCCGGACAGGCCAATTTGACACCCGGACAGGCCAATTCATGTCCGGTCTGCCCACCCGCCAGCGCAGTTCCGGAGCTCCACAGCGCAATTCGAATACCTCCGGCGAGCCTGCCAGAACACTTCAAAATCCCCCCGACCCATTTTTCTGTCAGGAATAAAAGCCAGGCCGAGTCTGCAACAGAGCTCTTCCCCAATTCCAGCCCGGATCCTACCCTCCTCTGTTGAACCCGAGGACCCGTACCTGCAACAGTCGGCGGCCAATTGCGTGCATATCCGGAAATTGTGCGCTCGTTAATAGCAACGGCGAGAGGATATTGACTGTGCTTTGTAATAGTGGGATATCGGCCAATGCGGTGTGGAGGCCAGATGCAAGGTGGTGATTTGCATTCCTGCCGTACTGCGGTTTACTTAACCGATTTCCCAGAACTGCTTCACAGTGACGCAATCCACTCCATCGTGTTACCCCCTCTGAGCGTATCATACACTTTCGCTTGGTGTTAGACGGCACAAGGAGGTACAGGTGGCATCGTTCTTCCCCTTTCCAAGGAACAGATACGCAACCTTCACTTGTTGTATTTGGCCTGTAGTGGTTTTTGTGAGTATCACTTAGCTAGTATTATTCCATACTACGTGTTTCTGATAGGTGCGGGCAGGGCGAAGCTGGACGTCCACCTCCTGGGCGAGCATGGGACTTTGGATCAGCAAGCTTTGGTCGTTTTTTGGAGACCAGGAGGCTCGAATTCTGGTTTTGGGGCTGGATAACGCGGGTCAGTGCGACATGATCATGCCACAGAAACTCTCTACAGCGCGTTTGGGATTTGCGTGCACATTGTTTCAGCTGTAATTCCGTAGGTAAAACCACTATCTTGTACCGACTACAAGTTGGGGAGGTCGTCTCCACCATTCCCACCATCGGCTTCAATGTGGAAACTGTCACGTATAAAAATATAAAGTTCCAAGTATGGGATCTGGGAGGACAAACATCAATCCGACCTTATTGGCGTTGCTACTTCCCGTGCACCCAGGTGCGATATGTGCGTGCGTGCAAAGTACCACCACAGGCAAGTTCCTTAGTAGCCGTCTTGGCCCATAACTACCCGCATCGTGCTCTCTGTATGCATGACATATATTTTCTGCTCACAATAGCGCCAGAAACTGTGCACACGTACGCTAGTGGCTACCTGAATACCCGCTTAGGGTGGGGTCTCCCTATTCCCTGCCGCCCACATTATAGCTCCTCATTCGGCGCCGGCTGACAGATACACATGTCCTGCTTGGTCGCACTTACAGGCAATCATTTACGTTGTTGACTCAACCGACACGGACCGTATCGGCATTTCTCGGGAGGAGTTTAAGGCGCTTTTGGAGGAGGAGGAGCTCCGGGACTCGCTGATCTTGGTGTTTGCAAACAAGCAGGTTAGCGCTGATCCATTTCTGGGCTTCGTGGGGAGCATCTGTTTACGACAATGTGGGACGTTTACAGCAGGGCACCGTCCTGTCGCACCTTCACTGCACCTGGACGCTATGTGGGCCTTTCTGGCCATTCAGTCCGAGGGGGGGCTCCGTTCCGTGGGTATCACTCCATCCCTTTGGGTGTCATCGCCACGTTCCGTGTGAGTGCATGGAGCGCGGCATCCGGGATAGCATAGTCGTGGGTTTCGGGTATTATATCGCTCAAGGATTTATGGTTGAGTGTCAGCGTGCCATAGCAAGGGGGCATAGCAAGGGCTGTGTTTTACAGGGCGAGGGTTACCGGCTGCCAGTTTGTTACTGCCGTTCGCGGACTCAGCCCCTTTTTGCGTTGGCATCTGTTCGGAAAGGAAAGTTGTCAAGTACCCAACGTTCATAGTGTCGTCCGTTTTGACTGTTTTGAACTTGCTTATGGAGGCTTACGGTTTTGAGCGAGCTCCCAACATTTTTGCTCTGCCGCAGGACTTGCCAAATGCACTCAGCGACGCGCAGATTGCGGAGGGGTTGGGGTTGCATGGCATCAAGAACCGGGACTGGGCAATCTTCAAGACGAGTGCGGTGAAGGGCGAAGGGCTGTTTGAGGGGCTCGACTGGCTGGCAAACACGCTTAAGACGAGGCGGAAATGAGATGAAGTGGACTGAGAATTGCCATTTGATTTGTACCTAGGGTTTTCGATGGCGGTACCGGGACGTTTGGGCGGTATCCACGATTAGCAGGCATTCCTCCGTGATGGCCTGTTCTTGTGTGGCCTTTCCTTAGGTGCAATGACGCTCCGGTGCTCGTTTGAAAGTGTTCGTGTGAAAGTGTTACTTTGGGTTGGGGGCCTTTGGATGCAGGAGTGGATGCATTGTGGAGGGTAGGGGGGAAATGGGCGCGAAATGCTTAAATGCGGGGTCCAGGCGCAGCAGCCTATGGTACTATAGGTTGGTCATTTCAGCAATGGAAGTCCATGCCTGCGAATGCGAGGATGTACACATGACCGGTTCCAGCGCCACCTAGCGAATGCCCACATGGGTAGCGGGTGGAAAGAAAAGGGAACACCTTTAGGTCCCGTGTATGAGAAATTTTGGCTGTGGCGTTTTCTGCGCTACTAGGCTGGCTAGATGGGCACTGAATAGGTTACCTGACGGTTAATCGTGTCGATGACGCCAAGGATCTATTTGATTTCTCCGCCAATGAAGTGATCAATTATTGTGGTTTGAGGTGCATGTATGAAAATGCTCGCGCATATTTACTTGTGAGCCAGAGCAGCTGCACGTTGCAGTCGGTGACAGGGGACTTTTGGCGTGCTCGAATTGAGTACATTGTCTAAAATTCCCGATTCCATGCTTGAGCACGCTAAGCCATTTGCATATTTCCTGAAATCCCTATATGGCCAGTTTGCTGCACAGCTTCAGTAATGCTGTTTGTAACGCATCCAAGAAAACGACAATATCAACGAATGGCTCAAGCGAAACATTTGGCGAAAGATTTGTTACATTGCCCCGTCCCGCCCTGTGAGGGTCCAGCCACAGTCCAGCGAGGAGGCCGCCTGGGAAGGCTACCCGGAAGCGACATGCAGCGCAAGCCGCAAGTTCATAGACCACCACATAGACCAGCCAGCAGGAACCGAGGGAAGCCCAGGCACCACAAGCAGCACGTCTACTCGTTCTGAGCAGCCGCCTTGACGACGTTCGTGCCGCGGAGACGACCGGTGCGGCGGGCAGCAATGAGACCGACCTTCTGGCCAGGAGGCGCCGACCGGCGGACGGTCGAGGCGTGGCCAATATGCTGGTGGTTACCACCACCATGTGGATGCTCCACAGGGTTCATAGCCACACCACGCACCTGGAAAATTGAAGTCAAGGAGGTGGGGTTAGCATCACATCCAGTAGGAACCAGGGAAGGGGCTGATACATGGGAAGTACCGAGAGTCCGGAGGGTAAGGTGACAGGGACTGACTCTCAAAAGGAAAAACATGACCTTACTACAGCTTCACGGGCAACCACGATTACAACCGGATTTGAACAATCGAGCTGTCTAAAACAAAACAGCAAATAACCAGAGCTCGTAGGAAGCACTCTCGTCCCTGCGCCTCGCCATCCTCGAAATCTTTACGAAATATTTTTGGTTGAATCAAGCAACCGAGGCAAGCCGCTACCCGCCGTGGAACCCTACAAACTATCGCACTCACCTTCGGCCAGCTGTTGCGCTTGGCCTTGTACTTGAAGTAGCTGCGGCCTGCCTTCAGCATGGGCTTCTCCGTGCGGCCACCGCCCGCCACCTGGCCAACCGTCGCGCGGCACTCGCTTGAGACCACCTGCAGGGACATGAGCATGAAGCAACGATGAAGATATAAGCGCAAACCACATGGCCCGGAAAGGTGTTGGGAGTGGATTTTGAAACTGGCAATTGTCACTAGTATATAGTGAGCCAGGCGTCACAAAACAAGCTCAGACACCAGACTAGAATGCGTGCTTGGTCAGATTTCATGCAAACATTGATGGGCGCAAAGTAATTAACATCAGCCCATCCAGTTGCGACTGCCACTGCATTTGACAACTAAGATGGAACGACACATAGGCGTCCGGCTTAATGCCGCCAAACGCAAAATCGACAGCTCTGCTGTCAAGCATGAAGCCGCGTTGCGTCCGCAGAAAAACTCCCGCCCGATTCGTAACCACAAGAGCCTGACATGAGAGCTGCACTCTGCCCTGACGAGCTGAACTCGCCAACGGATTCTGCATGACCCTCAAGTTCTCAACGAATGCTGGCTGCTGACCGCCGTATACGTCGCAAGGATCACGATTTTGTCGCTGCATTCGCTACGCCAGCACTTGTCGCTTAATGCTTGCTGCTGCAACAGGGGCGCTTCGACCCTGTCGCAGCTGTCGAGCGCCCTCTTTCAGAGGCTACAGCAGCCGCGCCGCTCCGGAGTCACCGCTTCTGCTGTCCTGGAGCATATCCCAGCAAATTATTGCTGGCATCTGCTGCATGCACGAAGCATTTACTGCTGCCGAAGACAAATCGCAGCATCCAGCTTGCGCCATGAAAGCCCAACCACGCCAGTTTAGGTCAGGTCGTAACAATGCCACCCCTCGTAACAAAACTGCTCTACGACAGCAACATACCTTCTTGGCACCAGAGGGCAGCTTGATGCGGGTAATGCCAGCATCGGGGTTGTGCGCCACAACGATGGCGTAGTCACCCGAGCAGCGAGCCAGGGCGCCGCGGTCGCCCGCTTTCTGCAATCCGCAAGTCACACCCCTTAATTTACTGCCCGGACCCAGCTTGAATTTAATACCCGGATACCCAACCACGCTTTGAGATGCCCCATCCATCGCCAATACTCTGCACGTGCGGTTTGGTGAATCCCTTGGTGTACGACCGTGGAAATAAGCATGCTTCCAAATTATACAGCAAAGTCTTTCGAGATTTCACGCTGGTCGCAATGCTGCAGGAGTAACCATAGCTGATCAGTGTAACCTGGCTTACTGACCTCCTCCACGTTGCAGATGATGGTACCCTCGGGCATGTCACCCAGGGGCTTCACGTTGCCGATGGACAGGGTAGCCTTACGACCGCAGTAAATGAACTGCACGACAGGGGGGAAGAACAGAGGGATCACCATTCGGGTATAGTCCCCCCAAATAACAAAGTACTCTGCCCATATCATGGACACCCCTTTACCTGGCCGGTGTACACGCCCTCAGCGGCGACGAAGAGCGACTTCTGATGCTTGTAGCGGATCGGGTCACGGAAGGTCACCTACGCAAGAAGGGAAAAACATGTGAAAATAACTTAATTGTCGCGTATAATAACTTTGTTTCAAGGAAATCATAGGCATGGAGCGCCGACTCGCCGCAGCCGCCAAAACGATAATGCTGAGGGCGTACATAATCCAAAAGCTCCACATTTCTGACTAGCTCTAAGGACAATGCCTCTAAACGTCTTACCCGGGCCAGGGGAGCGCCACGGCCAGGGTCGTGCAAGACCTCAGAGACCACGCCCTTAATGTAATGGTTCCTCTCAGCCGCGTCCAGGACGCGGTGCTTAGCGGCACCCTTGCGATGGGTGTTGTGGGACTTGAAAATCCCACCCCGACCCTTACGCTGTGACCTAATAACGCGACCCATCTGCAGGCGTAAGAGGAGAGGGAAAGCAAGTAAGCCAAATCGCTGAGTGAAATGCTAAGTCAGTGTGCTAAGAAGCTAGTAGTAATACTACTATCAATCTCAGCTAATAAACTGAACAAAGCTTTTGTCAACACCGTCAGGCCGCCGCCAACAGAGCAGATACTAAAGTAATAATATTTTGCGCCCCCGGACACACCTTTGATAACGGGCCCCACCGTTGCGGGAAAGAGAGAAGCCGTTGAGCGGTGTCTGGCCAAGTCAAGCTTGAAGCTCCAGGGCGTCACAGTACGGCAGGCTCTGCAGCTCGAAGAAAACTTGACTGTTACCGATAAAAAAAGGCAAAAAGTGGTAAATTTGTTTGTATGATGTTTGTATGGTGTTACAGCGGTTACGCTTCCGCACCTTAAGACTCCGCATTCACGCCGATGTTCACAACATAAAGCCCTATCCGGTGTAGTTTTAAAGCACATGTAAAGCTTACATGGATATGGTGTAACGGTACCACTAATAATGTAACACATCTTCAAATGGTGACATCTAGTGGTTTCGCCAGCGACCTGCCTTGGACAACATAGTTTGCGCGCAGCCCCGTATTACAGCGGGGACATAGTTTTCGGCAGCGGGGACGGAGGGGGGGCCCAGCGAGCAACGTGCAGGGGAGAAACGGAAGCATTTGCGTGCAATCCAGCACAAACCCATCGAGAGGAAGGCCTGGAAGAGAGAGATTTAAACCCAAGTCACCCTTATTCACGGATCCAAACCCGGTGGTGCATGAAACGATGCCAAGCCAGACCAAGTCGAGCGTTCAGCTATTGATGTGAACGGCCCTTGCGCATCACAAGACGATCTTGTGCCGCGCCACTCGGCTGCTAGGATATGGTAAGCATTTGTCGAAACTTGTTGATAAAGCGCTGCAGCAGCGAAGTAAAACAAAATTGGTCGTGTCCCTTCGCCTACCGTTTCCGTACGGCCCCAGCTCCCGTACAGCCGCGGACTCGCTGCAGTTGGCACAAGTCGTATGAAAGCCTTCTTAACATATGTCGGGTTATCTCCGGCATAGCGACAATCAGTATAGAAGTAATCCTCGTGGGGTGTAGGTTCATAACCATATCCGTACAAATAGCGCTGCCGTACACTTGCCGTTCGCCGAGGCTGCACTACCTTGCCTTGGTGTAGTCCGGCGGGAAACACACTTCCCGCTTCCCGCTTAGCATATCCAACTGCATGCATCCGCCACGTTTACGGGGCCTTACTACACATCTTCGGTACGGGCCTCCACCAAGAAACGCGCAATATAAACGCGCAAACCGCTATGCTACCTCGTGTAATACCCAAAATGCAAACACTCCTATGCACCACCTCGCAGGGCTGCGCTAGCAGCGTCGCGGCATGGGCCACCAAGCTCTCCGGGCAACAGCCCACACCAGCCCCTGCCGCGCTGCCTCCAGCCACTACTACAGCCTCCGCCGGCGGCGGCGCCGCTACCCCCGCGGCGGCCACGTCACCAGCATTGTCGTCGGCTGAGGCAGTTGCGGCGGCGACACGGGCCGGAAGTACCATGTCGTGCCTGCGGCACGGTAGCGCGGCGGCGACGTCGGTGTCGGTCTTGTTGACAGAAGAGCTCGCCTCAGGCCGTTCACAATTGGAGCGTGGCTACCGGCAGCTGCCCTTGGGAGTGCCGCTCAAGGAGTGGGGTGACCTGGTGGGATGGGGGTTGGAGGGAGGAGGGAGGGGCCGATGGGGGGCGACAAACGGGGACCACGTAGGGGGAAGGGGGGGAAATAGTGGGGGGGGAGTTGATGGGGGGGGGGGATAGGGGCGCAAGTTCGTGTGTTTCGACATGAAGGGTGGAAACCCACTGAACGCAGCGCTAGGCTCTTCTCCGAGAATTTGCAGGCCGTCAGCTCCACCAACTGGCCATGCTTTGGCGTTGTTTCGATGTGAGCCTTTGTCTGAATATCTGTGTTTGTCTGTCTGTCTGTCTGTCTGGTGTGTTCGGGAAGGATGGCCCTTAGTCATGGCCTCCGTCAATCATGCCCCCCGCCGCCCCATGGCCCCCTTTCCCCCCTTTCCCCTTGAGCAGCACGTGCGCATGTGGCTGCTAACACTCCCTGCCGTACTGCGTCCGTACACGGACATGTTGTGCAGTCCAGGGGGCCTGCTGTTGGAATGGAGCGACGAGGTGCGGACGAGCAATCAAAGGCGGGCGGGGGAAGCAGGGAAGAAGTGGGAGAGTGAGGAGGGGAGCTAGGAAGACCCACCGAATAGTCACCTAAGCCCTGACCAAAATTGCTGGAACATAATCTCGTACGGGACCTGATGCTGGAGGAACGGAAGGAGGGAGAGGAGGGAGGGAGAGGAGGGAGGGAGGGAGGGAGAGGAGGGAGAGGAGGGAGAGGAGGGAGGGAGAGGAGGGAGGGAGGGAGAGGAGGGAGGGAGGGAGAGGAGGGAGAGGAGGGAGGGAGAGGAGGGCGTAACGGAGAGGAGCAATGCGGCAGACAGCACGCACCTGAACTCCGCAAGGGTTTTAGGGTTTTAACATACTGCATGCAGCTGCCATCTAGGACGTAAGCAATCTCCTTGACATTCTAACAAATCCGGTATTCCATAACCCCGGCGGAAACACACACACATACACACACACATACACACACACACACAGCTCTTGGCCGAAGCCGGAGTCAGCAACGCCTTCCATCGCAAGCAGCTGCTGGAGTATGTACGCCAGCTGCAAGCTGACGTGGCGACCCACCTAACGGAGCAACAGCAGGACCGGCAGCGGCAACTGCAGCGGCACCAGGGGGGAGCGGGGCCAGTGGCACCAGATAGGCGACCTAAGAGCTTGGCGCCGCCGGGGCTCATACCGGGGAGCATTGACAGCCCGCAATCTGACGGTGGCGACGACGACAGCGCCTACTGCGAGAGAACTGGTGCCTCCGTCACCGCGGCCGAGGGCCACGGCGGTGGCCTTCGGACGACGGCGGCCAGATCGCCCTCCGCCAAGCAGCATCCCTCCGACGGACCCATGGGTCGCGATGCGAGCCCCGACTTGGGTCCGGGTTTGCGTACCCCTGCCAAGTCAGTCAGTCCTAGGCGGCGGCGCAGCTTGGGAAACAGCGGCAGCGTCAACAGCAGCAGCGGCGGCGGCGTGAGAGCCAGCGGGCGGGAACTGTTAGCGGAGTACGAGCAGGTACGGCCGATGCCTTTTTTGAGGGGGGGATGTACAGGCGTGCGTCACGGCTGGGATGATGTACAAGTCGGACCGCAAGGCCTCGTGCAACCGGGTCTCGGGATGAAGAAGGAAAAAAACAAGAAGAGTCCCCCCCGGCGTCCTTTTAGAGCAGGAAGAGTTCCGTCTTTTGGTTTAGGAGTTGATAAGGCTACAAGCACAATAAACGTTCCGAAATTTCGCGTCATGAAGATTTTACCTAGGGTAAGAAGGGAAGGGAAGCAGCGGCCTCGGGAGCGGGGTAGAAGGAAGGAAGACAGCGGGGTCGAGGACGAGGAGGTTGGCGGGGGGGTGGTGTAGAAGGGAAGTGTTTAATGTCGGTGGCAAATGTAGCTTCGCCGGTGCCAATCTGGGAGGCATGGAACGTTTTTTGATGATACATGATACTTTGGACGTGGATACTCGTCTTTTCTTGGC